GAAAGAAAAAGAAAAATACCGGATGGTCTCACTCATAGCAGAAATCTAGAAAACTTAAATAAGGGACCAGGCAAAAGAATAACTATAAGAAAGAAAATATCAAAATCAACAAACAACTATGAACCTGAGACACTCTATGGGGGATGGGAGGCGGGAAAGGAGGGTTTGGTGTCAAAATAAGGGGGTTGTAATTGTAAGGGGAATATAAAAATAAAATTTAAATTAAAAAGTTAAAAATAAATATATCATGTCTGATGTGTTAGATAATTTTTCATGTATAGTCCTTCATTTTATGTTCATACATATGCCCTAGAAAATTTTGGTTAATTATCCTCATTTTTAAAGTTAAAAAAAAATGAAATAGAGATTAAGTTGTCTAACATTGAACAGGCAAGTTTTATACAAACTTCAGAATTCTGTATTAGAAATTAAGTTTTTGCATTAATAATTATAAAAAGACAAAGAGCTATATTTAATGTTATGTATCTTGTTCTGACAAAAATTTTAATAACAAGTAGCACAGAATCGAAGATGAGACAGACAATGGAATAGGATAACATGAGTGAGAACCAGAGATAAAAACAGATCCATCAAGACTTCAGATATTGGAATTAGCAGGCACAGATTTAAAAAACAAACAAAAACCTGTACTTGCCATTTTCTAGTAGATGAAAGCAAGCTTGAAAATTTTGTCAGGTAATTTGTAAACCTGGTTCTGTCACTACTTCATATTTTTGCAATAGTTAAGACAGAAATTTGATAACTCAGTTCAAGGGGAGGGAAATCTGCTTCTAGAAATGTCTGAAGTAAGTGTTCATCTGGATAAGAGTTGGGAAACATCACCCTATTCATAAAAAAATCAATTGAACATCACATAGTAGACAGCCATTAAATTATTAAAAATTAATATTTGAAGACAGAATTTTCATATAGATTTAAGGAGCTATCTATATGATTAAGAGAATTTTTTTTAATTTTTGTTTTATTAGCACCATATACTTGCTAGTGATGCCTTATTTGTCTGGTTCAAGACTATTCTAGTTTTCATTCCCTAGGTTTTGTTGTTAAAAGTAAAAAGACATGTTTTATCTGTACATATGATCATAGTATTGGCTTTTTCCATTTTATTTGTTTTTGAAAACCTTGGAATAAAAACCTTCAGAAATTAAAAAATATATATATTGTCAGGGAACTGAAAATGAAAAATGATGACATAATATATTTGAAAAAGAACACAACAGAAATTTTAGAACTAAAGCAAGATATATTTGAAATTTAGAAAATGTTTTGATAGCAGACTAGACATAGCTGAAGGAAGAACCATGGACTGGAAAATGAGTACAGGGAACTATTCAGAATATAACAGAGACAACAAAAGTACAAAAGAGAGAAAAATGATAAGAAGAATAAAGCCTGCCAACAATATTTTATTGGCATCCAAGAGGAAAAAGGTGAATAGAGACAATATTTGAAGTGATATGGTAGAGAATAGAATGTATGTGTCTTCTATAGTTTTTCTACTTGTGCTAATAAAACCTCCATATTTTCAGAGCCTCAGGTCACAAACTTTATTTTTTTTAATTTTTTTAAAATAAATTTTCTTTTTATATTCCCCATACAATTACAATCCCCTTATTTTGACCCCAATCCCTCCCCTCCCTGCCCCCCACCCCCCATAGAGTGTCTCTGGTTCATAGTTTTTTGTTGATTTTGATTTTCACTTTCTTACAGTTATTCATTTTCCTGGTCCCTTATTTAAGTTTTCTAGATTCCTGCTATGAGTGAGACCACCCGGTATTTTTCTTTTTCTTTCTGACTTATTTCGCTGAGCATGATCCCTTCCAGCGCCATCCATGTTGCTGCGAATTGCATGTGTTTATCTTTTTTGAATGCTGAGTAATATTCCATGGTGTATATGTACCACATCTTCTTGATCCAGTCATCTATTTTTGGGCATTTGGGTTGTTTCCAAAGCTTAGCTATTGTAAACAGTGCTGCTATAAACATAGGGGTGCAGGTGCTCTTTGGAATTGATGTTTCTGTCAGGTCACAAACTTTAGAGTTATGCTTAACTTCTGTATTTCCCTAATGCCCTATATACAACAAATCAGAAATTATGTTGGTCTACCTTCAGAACACACCCAGATCCCAACCACTTGTCACCAACTCCAATGCTAACATTCTGATTTCTAGCCTGGGTCACTGGTCTGAACTGATCTCCCTGCTTCCAGGTAGTATGCTATATGGCCTATGCAAGCATACCCTAAAGATGTTCTTAGGCTTGATGTTAGATTTTTCTTATTGTCTCCAGTTCTTTGTAGATGTCTGTGGAGTACATTGACTCTGTTTAATGTGGGCAGTGCTCTAGACTTTGGGTTCCTTCTCTAATCACTTTACATATTGATGGCATGCTGGCCAGCTGATGGTAAGAATGGCATAAATTTAGAATTTCTTCTCTGCCACTTACTGGCAGTATAACTTTGGGATAACCTTGTCTAAAATGGAAATGATAATAGTAGAACTTATTTCATAGAATTATTTTGAAGATAAAATGAGATTCAGTAAGCAAAAGAATTTAACATATTCCGTGTCTAATTTAAGCTCAATAAACATTAGCTGTTATTATCATTACTATGTCACTCTCTGCTTTAATATCTTCAATATATCTTATTGCATATAGAATTCATTATAAACATATACTAATGTATAAGTATATACACTTAAATACTTTCTTTACTCATCTAAACTTCTCTCTAACTTCTTCCTAACAACTTCATCTATGTTTTTCTGCCTCCATACCCTGGTGTTTATGTGCTGTTCTAACTTTCTTGTTCCCAAGCAGAAGACTTTCACAGTCATCGTCCTTCTGGATTGTTCTCCCCTTGCTTTTTCATCGTATTTCATTTATCTGTCATCAATTTTCAAGTAATACTGCATTATAATTTGTATGTGTGATGCCACCCTTGGTTGTATACTCCTCAAAGTCAAAGATTTTAAAAATGTTAATAGACTTTATATTTTAGAGCAGATTTAGGTTCACAGAAACCTAAATCCCCATATAGTACAGCACCACCAGCACAGCATCTCCCAGCAGACTAGTATATTTGTTATAGTCAGTGAACCCTATGCTGGCACCCCAGGAGGACCCAAAAGCACAGAGTTTACATTAAGGTTCATTCTTGGTACTGTTCATTCTCAAGTTTGGGCAAATGTATAATGACTTGTACTGACCACTATATCATACAAAATAGTTTCACTGCCCTAAAAATCTGTTGTGCTTCATCTATGCCTCTGTATTCCCACCCTATAGCTAGAGATACTTTTTATTTTGATCTTAGAACATAACCTGTACCTGATGTATAATTGTCCCCAAATAGATGTTAGTTGTATGGTTAAATGAATGAAGGAAGGGACAATTATAGAGAGTAAGGGTGTCTTGTCATTGTCTAATTGACTGATGGCTTATCTCTGTTTCAGTATTTACTTAGGTTATTCTATTCTCTTCAGAAGACCAACCCCACTAGCTGTCTTTCAGAACCCTACCTATTCTTGAAATGCTAATTCAAATCCCACCTTACCTATTAAATCAAAGTTAAGAGTGAGGGGCCTCCCGGGTGGCGCAGAGGTTAAACGCTGGGTTGCGAAGCTGCCTGCAGCCTCCACGGGGCAGGTTCGATCCCCGGCTGCTCCCCGGCCACTGGAGGAGGGTCCCACATGGCGCCTGCTGCTCCCCTCAGCAGTGTACTTTGGTCCTTCTGCCTGCTCTGCTCCCCGCTCTGGCTCTGGTGAATTCTCTCACCCTCCCGTGCTTCTGACTGTACCCAGTGCATGTATAAACAAAGCAAACAAACAAACAAATAAATAAAAAAAAAATGCCTCTATAAAAAAAAAAAAACAGAGTTAAGAGTGAGAACTGAACACTTTAAAATTTTATTCTATTAATGGTCTATTTAATTTATGGGGTCTCATTTGTATTTTTTGTTTCATGAACCTGTGGGGAACCTGGATTTCCCAGTGATACTGAATTATATTTTTATATGGTGGCTGGAGTTTTCATTCCTTTGATTTTTATAAGCAAGAAGTGCCTTCATAAATTGTTTTTTATGTGGAACTGTAGACAAGGGTCATGGAACAGTGAAAATTGCAAGTCTATAAGAATTCACAGTTTCAGTTTCTTTTGCATCAATTCAGTTAACGGGTTGGGACACAAAATTATTGAGAGCTAATTAAAAATGTAAAAGGGAAGTAAATATTTTGCAGATTTGAGGTTGAAACAGTTTCCATAAAAAGCTATAGAAAATTGCCATATTGTCATTAATATAACTTTTCTTTGTGCTAGCAGTGGTTATTGATAAATGTTCCCTATCCTTTTCCAAGTATTTAAATATTCCCAAGCTGCATCCTTTGGTATAATTTTGTTTGGATGTAAATTTAAGAAGAAAATGTTACACATCTTACTAATTTTCAAATGATTACTTTATTCCACCCCCTCTTCAATACTGAACATAAGAGAAGGTTAATTTAGTTTCATGAAACTAAATTTGACTGTACAGGAGGGTATGTTTGCCTGGGGGTGATAGTTTTGTGTTTGTCTACATTATAAAGGCATTTTGCACAAGTCATTTTTTCATTTTTTTCATGTACAGATTAGGTGATTATGGAGGCTTGAGTTTGGCTTTTATGAATAAGGCCAATATGAAACTTCTACTTTAGTAAAGATTAAGACCTGTTTAAAAAGTTAAGTGAAAAACTTAGCCCAACATATAAACTATCATGTTCATTTTCATTCAGGTTTTTGTTATTCATATGGTAGTGACTGTCTTAATATATGCTGGATGATCTATCATTATGAATTGAATAACAATACTCTTCCTTCTTGAATAATACTACAGGGGGTGATATTTTCCTCTCTAAAGGAAAACAAAAACATTCAATGAACATTATCCTTAAAATATACTACTGAGTGATTAGGTTCATAATGGCACTGTTTTTATTCACAGATAATTCCTCCGAGGTAGCAATTACCACTCCAGGAACTAGTAACCATAGAAACAGCTCGACAGGCCCAACCCCTGACTGCTCACCTCCATCACCGGACACTGCCCTCAAAAATATTGTAAAAGTTATTCGGCCCCAGGTAAGTACCTAGAATGACATTTGCACTGTAACGTATTTTATATTTGAACTAGTGCCTGCAACATGCTGGACTGTGTTATGATATGTAAATGGATTTTTACATTAAAAGAAAGGAACTTGGAGGATATTTCCTTCCCTTGGAGTTAATGATAGACATTGAAATCTATATTTGTTTTTGGAAAAATGAATTTATATATTACACATAAAGAAAACAAAAGTTTAGAAAAATGACTTTTACATTATTTTCCTTTCACAGCTTTTTAATATTTATGCTCCAGTTATTGACCTGGTTCATGTTTTCTGTTGTTTCTATTCCCTTTGTCTTCCTTCTCAGGACATGATACATTATTTTTGACCACTTCTCTATCTTCCAACTCCATTTATTCTAATGTTTTCCTCAAATTCTCTATTCTTTATGGTTCTGACTAATTTTGTCTGTGTTTGATATTGTACCTCTGATTGTTTTTTATTTGCCTCCAGTTTTCACTTTCTTCTAGTGTTCTCTCTTTATCTTTTGTTCTTTTTCCCACTCCTGTCACTTGTCTGTATGGGTTTCTGTCTCTTCCCCCTTCTCTTTCAGTTGGATTTCCCAGTAGGCGGTTTGCAGGCAAGCTTTAGAAATATCATTGGGACAAGCTGTTCTGTGATATTTCATTGAAAATAGCACTTATAAAGCTGTTTGCATTATATTTTTGCCAACAGATGGACTCAGAACATGGAATTGGTGGTATTCTCAACCTGGCTCATTCTGAATGGGCTTCATAAAATCCAGTAGAGGGGGAATTTGGGTCCAATCAATGCCATTCACCATCCACTTAGATATGAAATCCTTTGAGTCAATATGCAGGAAAGATATATCTCGTAAGACTGTTTTTGTCTACATGAACAGTGATTTGCTTAATATATTACCTTCTTTAACATGCCCTATTTTGGATTATTTTATTGTAGTTATCACCCTCATTGATAAAAAGGCATTTGAACTTTACATATCCACTACAGCTTAAAGAACACTTTCATGCTAATTGTTTCATCTGACCTTCATTCATTCCAAGGAAATGTGTATTGTAGTGTTATGGATGAGAACATTGTTACTCCAAAGGGGCTAAATAGTGCAGCTGATTTGAAGTTTCTTTCCTTTTCTTTACTATAATGGTTTTCTAGTCCTGTTCAGAGGTTAGGAAAATCTTCTTGACATTGTACAACTTGACACATCTTTATGAGGATGGAATTTACATGTCCATTTAGCCCAGGTAACATTTCACAGAGTATCCCAACATGAGGAGGAAAATGTCTTTAAAAATCCCTTTTTCCTTTTTGGAGAAATTTTATCTATTCCATTAGCTTCAAGAAATAAATTTCACTAAACTCAGGTTTAGATGCTAAATGTCATATTTATTATTGCTTCACTCATTTTTCAAGTAGTGTGTTATTGTGCAGTTATTGTGCAGACAATGTATTATTGTACATACAGCTATTCCATTTCCAGTATTTTTAACTATTTTCAGTTGTAAATGCATTTGGTCCTTCAAGGAATGAAAGAGTCCTTTCTGTAATCTAATAAACTCTAAGGGACTTTATTCCATAAATCTTTCTTTGCATTTTCTATTTTAGCTTATTTAAAAGGTAGACTTTGAGGAAGGCTGGAGATTGTATTAAAGCCAGACTTTCTATCTTGACTCCATTCCTTCATTCTGTCCAGTATTAAATGTTTATGAAGGTAACTGGCTCTCCCATCTTCTTCTCTTAGCTGTTATGATTTAGGGAGGAAAAATGAAGTAAGAAATTCAGGTCACAAAGGACAATGCTATTTTAATTAGAATCAATGCAACCTGTAAATCTATATGTACGCGAACAGTAACAGTTACTGGGGGAGAATGTGACCTAGTTGGGCTACTCGCCCTTTAATCTCAGAGTCTTCAGTATATTAATTTCTCTTCATGTGTTCTGATCTCCTGGGGAGTCTTCCTTCACTCTAGAAAACAGAGAATAGAAAATTCAAGTGGAAGTAATTGTGAGTATTGGGGTAGGATACAAGATTTCATGAAAGGCTTTAGAGACTAGATAGTGTGGAAGGGGGACAGCTAGAAGGACAGAATAGAGGACTCCCTAGTGTGTTCTGACAAGTCACAGGTGTGTCAGGGATGAACATTGTTGAGAGCTTCTGTTCAAAGAAATGATAATTATTGGTTAGCTTACATAAGAGCCTATATTTTGATCACAGGTTTAATTCTCTAAACAGTTTGCTAATTCTGGATTTTTTGTTTGAAAATGCAGGGACTGTAAAGTTATATTGACTTGTGGATATTCAAACACTATTTTCATTTACTGTGATTGAAATGATCATTTCACTCTTAAAACTGGTGATGAGCCTCAAAAATAAAAGTGTAAGTGTCACCCTTACACATGAATTTACATTTCTTTGTCTGACAGATGTGTTTCAGTCTTATTGTGAGATGAATGATATAGAAGAGAAATATAACCAGAATTTTATCTCATTCACTGCAAAGAGTTATTGTTTAGAGCTAGTTAGCTTACTTCCCCTTAGCCTCAAGCATGTCTTTATCTAGAATAGCCATTGTAACCTAGGAGTTCTTTCTTTCCATATGAGATAGGGAAGATTATATATTGCCTATGTTTCTGACTACTGTGTTAATTACTTGGAAACTACACACTTTGAAGTGCTTTGTTGAGCTTGATTGTACTCAACATATTTATTAACTCACTAAGTCACAGCTGTTAGTTCTGCATCCTGTGTTTGATCTTTTAACCTTTGTTTTTTTGGGCTCTTTCATGTCTTAAAATTCTCCAGATTGTGAAACATTCTGTTTTCAATTTATGGAAACTAAAATATTTATATGCTACTGGTTTTTCTTTGTTTCTCTCCAGTATATTAACCTAAAAGGTCCACTTTCTCTATTTAGATGAATTTGCAAAGCTGGGTTCATTTACATGTACTTAAAAGTGAAATAATTTTTAAACTTGGAAAAATAGTTCAAAATATATTACCTCTGGGAAAGAATTAGGTAAGCCTATTGACATACCAGTTTTCTTCTTTCTACTAGTTATATGCTACTTGCAATAGCATTTAAAAAATGTTTTCCCAGTGAAAACATCTTTCTCCCCTATTTTGAAGAATAAAGTACAATTTGATGAATTTTGACTTTTATTTATGTAGATGTAACCACTACTCAGAACATGATATGAAACACTGTGTTTACCCCAGAAAGTTGCCTCATGTCCCTTTCTAATCAGTTACTTCCATTCCTACCTCAGAGGTAATTTGTTTAATTTTTATTGCTATAGATTAGGACTGTTTATTGGATTTTTTTATGTTTTTGATATTCATTCAGATCATTTCCTTTTTAGCTGTGTAGTATTCCATTGGGTTAATATGATGTAATTTGTTTATTCACTCTCCTATTGACTGATATTTGTGGTATTTTTATTTATGAATATGCTGTGGATACTCATGCCTAAGTCTTTTTATAGTTGTGTGTTTTCATATAGATACCAATGACTAGAATTGAGTCATATCTGATAGAGTAGCTAACTTTCTAAGGAACTTCCCAAGGTTATTTTCCAAAGTAATTGTTTCATTTTATAACCACCAACAGAAATAAGCAAGAATTTGTTTTTCTACATTCTCACCATCCTTTAGTATATTAGATTTTTGCATTTTTAAAAAATTTAGCCAGTCTTACAGGTGGCTAAAAGGATTTCTTTTTATGGTTCTAATTTACATTTCCCTGACAACTAATGATGATCAGCACCTTTTTCTTGTGCTTTTGCCCATTCTTATATCTTTATTTGAGAAGTGTCTGTTCATGTCTTTTTTAAAGGCATTATTCAATTTTCTAATTGGTGATTTAGTATAATTCCTTATAAATCCCCCTGTAATTACTTTGTCAGGTTTATGCACTGCAAATATTTTTCCCAAGTCTATGATTTGACTAAGTAATTTACTAATGGTAACTTTGATGAAAAGAATATTTTAATTTTGGTGACATCCAGTTTATCTATTTTTTCCTTTCATGATTAGTGCTTTTTATGTCTTATCCAGATTGTGAAAATATGCTCCCATATTATTTTCTAGAAACTTTCTAGTTCTGATTTTTAATGTTTCATTTTGTTGACTGAAACATAAGTCTCAATAATAGTTAGACAAAGAATTTACTAGATAATCAAAGTGAGAATTTGAACCTGGGAGGCAGTCTTGAAATGCAGCAAACCTGGAAATAAAGGGTATGGCCTGGATGGTGAATCCTAACCCACGTGCTTAAGAATGCAGGACATGCAGACAGAAAGACCCACTCCCCCAGGGGAATACGACCTTGGTCCTGCAGTCCAAAATCTGGCTGGTACTATCACTTTGCTTCAAGGACCAGATAAAATCTGGCAGGTCTGGGAGGCAGAAGGAGTTCATATTCTGGGAATGAGTAAAGGGAGAAAAAGTACACCTAATTGAGAGGACACCTCCCTACCAAGAAAAAAACACAAACATAAAATTCTAGGGGACTCTAGAACCTCTGTGCAGGTCTCCCGCCTTCTGTGATTTCCTACTTCCTCTCACAATGTCTTGTATTTTTTACCCTCCAGTAAACTCTGTGGCTTGCTTTATTATTGATACTGCATGAAATTCATGAGGCACCAGGGATCTTCAACTCTTACATTTTCCCAGCAGAGCAACCCATATTTGTGAAAATATAAGAATTTTCATTGATTCAATTTTTTTAGTATTTTTTTTATTAAGGTAACACTGGTTTACAATAGTGTATATGATTCAGAAATATAGGATCCCTACTCTTCAGGTGTAAGCTACTAAACCACATCCACCATCAGGGTATCCATAGTCTTTCTCGTACTCTTTCTGATAAGAAACCACAGCTTAAATTTGCATTTCAAAGAATGGATCTTTGAGTCTAAAGAAGGTAAAGGCAACAAAAATCTGTATTACAGAGATAGACTCTAGTTTCTTAAAGCCAGATTTTTTTCTTCTTTTTT